TCACGGACTCATATTTTATCGCTGCAGCTTGGCCCCAGTACAGAACAATAGCCAAAAACTAGCACACTTGATTTTCAAATCCCCACAGATTGTAACAACTTCTGCTACCACACAAGCAAATAATCCCAAAGTCTCCTATTTCAAGGTTCTACAACTTTCTTCCCACTATTAAAAATATTTTATCTCTATGATTTTTCTGTACTCGGTTCAAACAAACAAACACATGCTTAAGATTAAATGTAAAATGCTTAAAATAAATGCTTAAGATTTCTGTAAACTCTATCTCAGGATTTATAAATTCATTGGGTATGGTTTAAAATCTATAAAATCTGTAACAAAAATTGGCTTTAAACTTGCTACAAAAGACTTATCATTAAGAACTGTATATACGTAGGAATTTTAATTTGCCACAGCATACTATATATGTGATTCAACTCTGGTTTAGAATATACTGTATATGTAACATACTTTTGACTCTTGTTTAGAAAAAATAGATGTTTTTAAATCATCAAGATGTAAGCAGCCTCATGCTGGCAGCCATCTTTACTGAGGTTAAAGGATACATGCGATATGACTCCACCATCTTAATGGTATAAAACAGCAAGTATACAACTTCTCAGTCCTGCTGAGCCCTTACTTTATCACTGTCTCTCCTTTTAGGCTAAGGAAGCAACAACAGGTCTCTAAAATATTTTGGATTGGTCTGGAGTTTTTGTATGATGATAAAATTTTAAGGTTATAAAGGTCTACTCAGATTAACAAAAGCTGATTTAAGATGTACTTCTAACTACTGACGTCCTTGCTAACTGTTCAACACCAGGCTTCTAGAAAATTTAGATAAGTAACAATATATGTTTAATAAATAAGGTATATTTGATAAATAAGGTTTTAAAATTCCTAAGGTCTACTTGGGTTCACAGTAATATTTGTCTAGCTCCTTTGTCTTTGGGGACTTTGTTAAGCTACTAACATGTAAACTGTTCACTTAGTGAGAAGCTTTATTTGACCTCTTACGTTTTTTCCAAGTTAAGCCTAAAGCTAGTAAAAAAGATGTGCTTAATGGATAGATGATCCTCCTCAGACTCTTCAGAGACCTGCTGGATATGGCATTTTAAATGTTTAAACTTCCCACAAAAGACAGTACTGCCCCCTCCTAGCAGGAATCCTTAAGGTCTCCAAGGAAGACGAATAGAACATGGCAATGAAGACAACACCTGGATTGTGGTAACACTAATCACTGGGTGAAACTGCCTTATACTTTGCCTGCCACCAGCACTCTGCACAAACTGGACATTTTTGGGTTGATTTCCCTACTTTGTCTGATCAAAGTAAGGTCAGCTTTCCCAAGATCCTCTACGGGAAAAATCTCTAAGTCCTGGGTCTGGACAGCCAAAGGCTTCTGCTGTCTTGTATGACAGTCAAAGTGCCCGGCTGGAGCCTCCACCTCACCCCTGCATGATGCAGAGAGCCCTATCCCTGCCCCCCTCCAAACTCTGCCTGTTCAGAGGATCTCAGAACAAAGGAAAGGCCCCAAAAGCTCACTTCCAAATTCCTGTTGACTACTGAAGGTTCTTCCCCTGAAGTTGCCAGCTGACCAAGTAAGTCCTCACCTGAGTGCTCAGTTTTTGATCACACTTGAGCATAAACCCAGCTTGTGACAGACATGTCATCACCCCTCTGCCTACAACCCATAAAATCTCCCTACTTTCATCTGGGGGTACAACTTCTTTAGCCTTGATCTCTAGGACCAGAGAAACTGCCTGGGAGTTGCTCTGCTCAAATATGCCTATTTTTATACATTTTCAATTTGGTTTGATCAGATTGGTGGAAAAACCTATTTGTGAGGGGGTGGGTCAGAAAACCTATTATAAAGATCAACTACTTCTGCCCCCAAAGAACTATGGGAGCCTATGGTAACCTGTCTAGGTAATGGATCTCTGTTGTTTTATTTGATACTGAAGGGACCAGCTTCCCTTTTGGCAGCCATAACGGTCGAACACATGCTTCTATGACCTTGTTCTAGACACTAGAAAGTCAGATGCCTGCCTCGTGACAAGGAACCAATCAGAAGTTAGCTGGTGGCTCTATGCTTTACGACCCTGGGTGTGCTTTACGGACAAGTGCACAGCAATGATGAGAAGAGCATAGCAACCACCCTGGGAGGGCCTATGGGCCATAACAACCAGTTGACCAATCAACACAGGGCAAGCCCTCCAAGGCTGGAGGCACACCAATCCTGAGCCTGTGCATACCCCTAGACACTCCCCTTACGCTGCCCTATAAAGATCTGTGCTCAGCGGCTTCAAACTGTCTTTGCTAGCCATCTGACATGGCGGGTGGATCAAAGGCTCGAGCTAACATGGGGTTAGCTCGTTAAATTACAATAAAGCCTCATGCAATTTGCATCAAGCTTTCGCCTCCACTCTGTGATTGGGGTGGCCGAGGTCCTGGGCTAAGATTCTGGAAGCCTGAGCTTTCCGAGGGTCTTACAATACATAGACTATTTATATTATACTTCCAGCTATAACTTATCCTTCTCAGATCTCTGATGGTATTGAGTAACTGTAGCTTTGCCAGTTTAACATCAGCAAGCACCCAGCTCCTTCCCCAAAGCTTCAGCTGCCTTCTCAGTTCTCTTCATATATAAAAAACAGGCCTTGCTTATGGAGAGCTTCTAGGCCTCCATCTGAGAAAGACAAATAGGTTATCTAGCTACCACATTCTGAACCAAGAAAACTCACAAAACAGGTTTCAAAGTAACTTTTTACTATTCCTTCCTTTAAAGGAACTTGCTTTACAGTGACTACTGTCAATTATCAACCACCCATGTCTCACTGTAAATAATTGGGTTTAAAAAAGTTTGAAGTTTATGGAAGTTATAAAGGTGTAAGCAGTGATTTAAAGTATATAAGAAATTACATTTTTCTTTCCCTTGCTATGCTATTGTTAACTTAAGACATCAAGAGTTCAGAGTTTTAACATTAATGAATGGAGTTCTGATAAGCTGTTAATCTAGCTCTGATAAACACTGACCACTATTATCATAGTCACAACCTCAAGATTTTAAATTTCCTTTGGTCATCTTCTAAGAATAGACTTAAGTGCTTCTTGTGCTAAAAACATCTGTTCAGCCTGCATACATCCTCTGGATGGAGGAAAGAGTGTTCATGTTTTTAACCCAAATCATTTTTGTGTCCTAAGCTTCTACTAGGACTCAAAGTCTACTACCCTTTCTATAGTGTGGATTTCAATACAGATTACAAGCAGTGGTGATGCTAACATATCTAAAACTTTCTATCTCTACTTGCAAACTTCACAAAACAATTCTTACAAGCCTTAGGGAATCTACTTGGATCCATCTCTCACAGGTCAAATGGACTCCCCTAAACTCCTTAACTTTGCCTTCTCTCCCTAGCAGATTTCAAACCAACTACACAATGCTCCAGCAACTTGCTATCCTCTGGTGGTATAACTTCACAAACTGCTCCAAAAATCCTGCCTGCATGTCCCTGGCCCCAGGTAGGTCACACACAGGGTGAACAGCAGTGAAACAGCCTGCTCTTTCCTTTCTTGGCCAGCATTCTGGCTTTCCTGCCCTACCCCCGCCCCCACCCGCCCCAGCAACAAAGCCCCAGTGTCAGCAGGAAATACTCATAAAGATTGCATCGCCCTTTATTTACTCATTATCAACAAAAGCCTAGATGTTGGGTTTCAAACCAAGGACAAATGACTGGGATTTCTATTTAACATATCTAAGTGGACCTGGCTGCCAGGTTCTCCCTCAGTCCTTACCTGTTACAGGGCCCTCCTGGCTGGCATGCCTTGGCCTCTACTCGGAACTCTCCATTCCAGAGGGTTGAATGGCCCTTCCCTACATAATCCAACCATTTTGTTACCCACTCTCTTGGTTACTTTGGGCCTGCTGGCTGCTGCACCTGGTCCCCTTCTCTCCCCTCTTCTTTCCCTCCCCCCTCTCCTCACATGGCTCAGGGTCATGTCCACTCTGGACTCTCCCAGAAGTTACTGTCTCTGGCTATGCTCTCTCTCACATATCTGAAATAAACCTCCTCCACCATACCTAGCAGCAGTCATATCCTTCTTTTTTTTTTTTTTACATTAATATACAATGAAAAAGAAGCCAGAGTGCATTTCCTCTTTTGACCTCCAGTCTCTTCAAAGCAGAAAAAAAGCAAAGCAAACAAAAAACCTACGACTTTGTTGTGCTTATATGCATTTTTTAAATGTCCTTAAAAACACAGGGGAAATTTTTTGGTAGAGCAATATGATAATGCTTTGACAATGAGCAGAGGAGCTGGTTCAATCTGATTATATGGGTGCTAGGAACCAGATTTAATGCAGCTCATACTAACGGTCTTCCACAATCACTCTCTTCAGGCATCACTTGGTTTGGCAACTTTGAAGATCTTCCTTGAGTTTAATTGCTGAAAACTGTGGGGTAGAAATAGGAAAGGAGAGACATTTATTGAAAGGGACTCAAGGCCACCTTGGAGAAGAAAAAGCTAAGAGTATATATAGCATGGGGCTCTGTGGGGAGTCATTGTCAAGGGGCCTGAGGCATAAATACCAGAGTGACTAACTGAGAAGCTATAAAAAAAGAGTTGCCTCTTTGAATAGCTGCCAGGGGCTGGGGCAGACACAACTGCCAAGTATATTACTCTAAAGTCCTCCTGGTCCCCAGAAACCACCCTTACTCGTAGAGCCGAACTGAAGATTCATTTAACTCACCTTGCATAATTCCTGTCCCACCCTGCCCTGAGGACCTCAGGATTTGCTATCAAACTATATTATATTTGTTAAGAGATTCCTATTAGTGGTAAAATAATGTAACAACATAAATTTCTTTTAAGGAAACATTTGCCATTGGTTGAGCCCACGGAAGTGACGGTCGGTCCATGTGTGGATTTTTACAGTTCCCTCTTCTCAGCAGTCTCCACACTGAAAGGAACATTGGTTGCCAGACAGGCACACTTGCAACCATGATGCCGAACCATTGCTTTCTAGGCTTCTTCATCATGTCCTTTCTGATCAGTGCAAAAGGTAAGTACTTTACTTCCTTCTAATTGGCAAACTTTGAGTCTGATCAAGACAAGGTTAACAATGGCTTGGATGATTTTCTGGACTCTGTCATGTCACCAAATGGTCCCAGCAGGTTAGGGGAACAGTTTCTCTCTGCATCCTGAATAAGTAGCTCCACAGGTACCTGAGTTCAGGACAGAGAAAGGCCCCTTCATGGTAGAAAGCAGTTCATACTCTCACCCTCTCTCTCTCTCTCTCTCTCTCTCTCTCTCTCTCTCTCTACATATATATATATATATATATTAGAGTTAGTGTATATGCTTAGAGAAGCGCCCCCCCCACCCCAGAACAGAGACCACAAGCAAATGGCGTTTACAAAGTGGACTTCAAGAACAGTTTATCAAGACAAATTGCTCAGAAAGGCCCCTGGAGTCCCAAAGTCAATAGATGGGAACTCTCACTTAATGGCTTAAGTAAGTGCCCACAACTATGCAGTTGTTCTATGACTCTACATTAAAGTGACCCCAGCCTCTACCAGACAGAAATATGGGAACTAGAGTAGGCTATTCCTCTTTTCTGTGGTAGCAAGGACTCATTTGGCAGGAATTCAAGTGCTGGCAAAATGACCCTGCTTTAGCACACCTGTAACCTTGGGAATGATGTGTAACTTTGTTGTGCCTGTATCCATACCTGCAAATGCAGTAATAATAGTATCTCTCTTATGTAGTTGTCTGGGTATAACTTGAAAAGAATGAGCATAGCCTCTGATGAATATTTCTATCTGTTCACTAATAAGCATCAAGAAGGAAGAAATTGAAGGAGGCAAAGGCTTATTATTATTGCATTATTCTGCCTCCACCATCAGCTCCTTCTCATCCAGGGCTTTACTTTTAGTTTTCAGTAGTAAGAAGCAGGCTGTTGAGTCAGCCTGGGCACAAAATCAGCTTTACCACCTGCTCCTGGGCAGATTCCTTCACTTCTCCAAGGCTCATTCTCTAGACCATAAGAGGAAGACTTCCCCGGTATCTTTAGCATGGAGGAGCTGGGCATGTTCAATGAGCAGATGACGGAAAAGCCCCTCAGTGCTTTGTGCACTGAGTTGTTACTGAGAAGGCATGGTGACAGTGAAGCTGTTAGAAAAACCCAAGACAAGTCCAGAGACATAAGAGACAGAGGGCAAGGAGCCAACCATCTTCAGGTTAACAAGCCAAGTCTGGGTGGGTCTTCACGAAACTGCCTGCCATCTCCTGATAATTTTTATGTGCTAAATAGGATTAATCAGGTAGTGATTTGGGTGCACAAAATAAGCCGTGGTAATAGACCTTTTCCAAGTCCATAGCAACATTCATGCATGGCAGGAGGCCTTCAAAACATACCAAAACAAAAAACAATGTCAACACCATCCGTGGAAAAGAAAAAATACCCAAGGAAACCATCCTTTTCTCCCTTGCCAGAAACTTGGGCCCCTGAAATAAATCTTATTATAGATCTCTTTTCTCTGTAAGATTAAATGCAGGTAAAGGTAGGTCACCCTTGTCATATGATTTGAAGAAGAAAACACAAATAATCCTTCCATGCAAAGTCTTGCCCTCTCCTGCCTATGACTTTGCACCCTCACCAGAGCCCACAGCAGGTCTTGGGTAATTCCCCCACTAGTGTGGGTTGGTGAATCTGGACAACTCTTCTTGAGTACTTGTAGCAAGTAGACAGACAATTGGTCTTTCATCACAGTCATTACATCCTATCACTATTTGGGAATAAACAAGAGATTATATTCTTTCCATGAGTTTTAGTTCCTTTACCCATTGGGAAGTGCTAGGGGAATGGTATCATTACCTTTCTTTTTCTAGTATGAAACACATCCTTCTGCAATTTTACTTTAGACTCAGGTGTAGCTCAGTGGCAGAGAACTTGTCCTGAGTTCATTCGCTAGAACTGGAGAAGGGAGGGGACTTTCATCATGCATCAAAATCTCATACTGAAGAGTTAAAAATGTTGATTTTTAATTCTGTCACCACTGCCTTCCCTTAGAGTGACTCCCCAGGGGCTCCTGATGCAGAAAATACATGAAACCCTGCTGCTGCTCACAACAGTAGTGATCACAGTAATGTCCAATGCTGTCCTTCTTGCCACTTTAGGAATTCAGCCCACCCATGGATCTCTGAAACCTCAGAAGGTCCAGTTTCAGTCCAGAAACTTCCACAACATTTTGCGCTGGCAGCCAGGAAGTTCCCTCACCACCAATGGCAGTGTCTACTTTGTGCAGTACAAAATGTAAGTAGATTTAGTTGGCGGGGAAGGCCATGGAGTAATGCATTCTGGGATGCAACGGAGTGTGAGGAGCTGAAGACCTTTGGATTTTGCTTTATTTGGCTTTTTGAGACTTTCCAGGAGGGTTGAGAAGAAGCAGAGGTGGGGACAGAAGGTTGTCTGGTGACACAAGGGTATGACGATGTGTGCAGTCTTTAAAACAGATACTTCAGCTCTAAGGAGCTCAGAAAGGAGTCCTTCAGCTTCATGCATTTCCAGCACATGACGGCTTTCAATTTGTCAAATGAATGTTGGCAGCTACTTGCTCAGACCAGAGCAAATTCTCAGTTAAGAAAAGCTACTGGTGGTTGCACTTGAGGCAAACATGGAAACATATAAAACATATATATAAAATATATAAAACATATATAAATATATAAAACATATATATAATATATAAAACATATTTTTAACTGGTAAGTTTGTGTGTGGGCAGGTTTACTATCTAGAATGGCATTAATGGCTCTGTGAGCATGTACACACACTAGGACACACAGCAGCATGCTCCTCTTGTTGGATCTCCTCTTGTTGATCTTGCGGGATCAATGCCAAAACTCAGATTTTATCAACTCCATTCCTTTGTCAAGGCTGAGAGATAGGCCTGATTGGAGAGTGGCAGGTATTTTTCTTATACATTCAATAGGGGTTTTGAGATTCTCTTCCCTCTAAATAGTTTGGGAACTTGGCTAAGTAAAAGGCAGGAGTAATTGCAGCGTAGCTTTCATGGATCTAGAGTAGAAATCCAGGAAAGCAGGTGAAGATATGAGCCAGAATAACACCTCTTTTTATTTATTCATTTAACTATTTATTTATTTGTTTATTAGAATAGTACCTCTTAATCAACAAATCTATCCATGTGCCTTCAGTTGATGTGTGTGTGCGGGAGGAGGGGAGGAGGGAGGGGGGCCCTTGCTCAGATTTTCTATGAAATAATTTCTAAAAAGAATATCCCAGAGGTTTTCTTGAATTTACCTCTGTAAAATGTAGCAATCTTCCAAACTAGGTTTGGACCCAGTTGGAAAAGTTTGTGGCATGTAGGAAATAGGGACCAGTGCTCTAGTCATATGGCCTCCCAGGCACTACCAATGACTCCAAAATGAGCCTGTCAGTGGCCAAAGCAGTAAGAGGATTTGAAACTGTTCTACCATGAAGGAAAGATTCAACTTGAGGCTCCATGGAACTTTAATCTGTAATTCTTTAAGTTTACATAAAATCCAGACCTCAGAGTATCTGGGACGATTCCCCTCGCTATATTATTTTCAACAGTATAAGACATGTGTATAATTTTGAGAACTTTTATTTGTTTGTGTGGCTCATAGTTTATTGACATCTGCCCTAGTTTGAATTGAACAAATACAAAATCTTATAGCAAAAGAAACAGGAAAACTCAATCACAGATGAGTTCCCCTAACAAAGACAATGTGTCATCAATAAATGATGGTCCAAACTCATCAAATTGTGCAGCATTTGTGTTGTAGCTTCTGTTTTAATCCTGACACCATGAAGCTGCTGTTATTATGCAAACTATAGAGTATAGGGACCAGCAGTATTGCTCATTATATGAATACCAATAGGTCCCTTCAACCAGGGACCTTTCTCCTCAGCCTTCCACTTGCCACACTTCCATGGTCTTACTCTGATTTGTGAGTGGCAGGAAAGGAAGGTGGTAGTATTCTCTTTGGTTGCCACACTGCCCATGGGTTGAGGTTGGCCTTTTGCCTCACCCCATTTTTGCAGCGTTCTTTCTTCCAGTTCTTAGAACCAGAGCTCCCTAAGGAGCCCTCATTGTAACTTCAATTGTCAATAAGGAGTTGAGCCATGTGTGCTCATTCAGTAAGCGTCACTTCAGATGGCATGTGGTAGCAACTTCTGAGAGTTGGCCTTGTAACCCAACAGCAAGCTGATGAGAAGTGCAAGGGGGAAGAATCATAGAGCCGAGGCTTCAGAAGATGTAAGGATGTGGATGGAATGCTTAAAATGGAAGCTGGCCCATACACCAAAAGAAGACACACTGGTACACAGAAAAGGAAATAAACCCTTATGTTAGTGAGACAGAAAGCTTCAGAGTTCAATTTATCCTTCAGCAAGCTAATGCCCTGGTTAACATGAAAGAACTTTTATGCATTCTTGATAGCATAAGGTGTCAGTCTGTAGAAAGATTACCACACTGGAAAAACTGGAGTCCTCAGATGGGAGAGAAGAAACTCACATGTTTGTGTTTCCCCTTCTTCAGGTATGGACAGAGAGAATGGAAAAATAAAACGGACTGCTGGGGGACCACAGCGCTCTTTTGTGACCTGACCAATGAAACCTTAGAACTGTACGAGCCGTACTATGGGAGGGTGATGACAGCCTGGGCTGGGAGCTACTCTGCCTGGAGCAGGACACCCCGCTTCACCCCGTGGTGGGAAAGTGAGTTTCAGCTAGTCTCTTGCTTTTCCTTTTCTGCCTCTGGGTGCTGAGACCCATATTATCCTCTTGATGGAACCCTCAGGACTACACAAGCCACTCTTTTTATCATCCTCATTTGACAGCCCTGGAAATCTGGGGCAGAGGTTCAGTCAAAGCACCAGTTCCCTGCTTACAGGGAAACATTTCATCTATTAACTCCAATACACTTAGAAACAACAATTATTTCTCTCTTTATCCCAAAGGTTTGTTACTTAACCTACCCTGTCCCTCTTACTTACAGTCCACGTAACCTGTACTTTCCCCGACATTTGTAATTAAACAAGGTTTATTTATTTGCTGCTGCATGTACAACTTTATGCCAAAAGAGGGCATCAGATCCCACTACAGATGGTTGTGAGCCACCGTGTGGTTGCTGGGAATAGAACTCAGGACCTCTAGAAGAGCAGTCAGTGCTCTTGACTGCTGAGCCATCTTTAGTCCCATAAAAATACTCTTAGTTCTAACTACTAATACTGTAAGTCCAGCAGACATTTGCCAACCTTGCTACCAGTATTTATGAGATCATGCCCCAAGACCTGAACTTTCTTCTGGCTAACATCTGTAATGGTTTGGCTTCCCTGGTCTGAAGAGTTTAGGGGCTCATCTGTCTACCTCTTCTAAGTGATGTAATGCCCAGTTAGATTTAAATTAGTGACTTGAGTTCAAAATGCTACATGCAATGGAACTCAGAAGAAAAGTTATTTATTTGCTTATTTATTATCTCAAGCTTTTTACTTAGGAGATGAGCAGAAGAAATTAGCAAACCATCTGTGCTCTCTAGCATCTTTTCTGGGCATGACTTACACTCCATAGACAGTTCACTAACTGAGGTAAATGAGAAGGCTACAAGACTGAGCTGGTTGGTAACATTGAGTCATTTGTTATATTCAAATCTAGAAATGGGATCAAGTTCAAATATTTATCAAAGTCTGACCCATCAGATAAGAACAGCCAAAGATACTGGCTCAGAACATTGGAGACTTCAACTGTCCTACTTAAGTAAGGATGGTGTCAAGTTAACAAGGGGTTAGGTTATTTCTATAGGACCCCTTTTCACAAAAGAAAAGGTCTCAAGGGGGCTGTTCTTGCAAAGCTCCCCAGGTAGAAGAGAAACCCGGCATCTAAAACAGTTAAATGGAGCCCTTGGGAGGAGTCCCACCCCCTCCTCTGACAGCTCGCTTTCATCTTGGCCCTCTTCTCCCCCAACTCCAGAGGGTGTACAAACATCCTGTTTTGAAAAACAGGTTTCTAGGATCTGAGGACAGTATGTTCCTAGAGCCTGTTGTGCCAGCTAATGAGGCACCTGTATGCATTGGCACTCCCAAGACCTGCTCTGAGAAGCATCTTGTAACAGTTCACTGAGCTGGGATTCCTGATGCCTCTCTAGAAGCAACATAGTCAATAAGGAAGATGGTTATGTTAACATTGTTATTTGGTGCTTGGTAAGACTTCAATTATATGGTACTGGAATTATGAGGACTTTGGAAATGGGTTACAGCCGTATTTGCCTCCTACATAAACTGATGATGTGACGACCACTCCATGATGTAGTTAAGGGCAAGGCTTTTATTGTAGATATGAGAGAGAGAACCACCAGAGGCATATGGAAGAGTCCAGAGCAGGTGGAGAGAAAGTAGTAGACTGAACATGGCCAGCAATGGCCACAGGAGAAGCAGGAGTGGGGGTGGAAGGGAAAAGAGGAGAACAAGGAGAGTGAAGAGAAGGAGGAAGACAGGGAGAGTATAACAAAAAGTTACATGCTAGAAAATGTGTAACAGGTATTCGTGACACTGAGGGAGCCTGAGGCCAGCATGAGCTTTGGCGTGCTAATAGGCAACACAGATAACCATTTGTCCCTTCTGCTTTTTGGCATTTGGGGAAATGAGGTTTTCTTTGGACCTGACATCTCCTTTGTTCACACAGCAAATATTTACAATGTGCTTACTACACTTAGTCTGGTCCAGAGAGAAAATGGCAAACAGAGCAAGTAGACAAGTTTCTTCCCAGAGTTTTCTATTTAGTAGAGAAGTCACATATTAATACAATAACCACTCCCTCACAAAATCCACTTGTGGTGGATGCTGTAGAACCAAAATGAGGTCTATGAGATCCTAGCCAAGGAGGGGCCTGGCCAGAGGAGTTGGAAAAAGCAGCTCTAGGAAAGGACACTTGAGCTGATCTCAAGATGAATAGGTGTCAAACAGAAGGAGGGGGAGAACATCCCAGGTCAAGGGAAAGGCAATTGCAAAGGCCCTCTTCCAAGAGGAAGCAGGATATGTGTTAGAGACAGAAAAGCAGCTGGCACAGTGAAGCCAGACATGCAGTGGTGCAGACTGGAAAGGTAGCCAGTGGTGAGAATTTTCTCTTAAGGTGTTAGGACTTCCTCCAAAAAAAGAAATGTGTTTTAAAACTTGTGTTTTTGTGACACTGGGAATTAAACCCAATATAGTGCATAGCACAACAGCACCACGCAGTGTCCCAAGTCTCACAAGATGTAATTTTGATCCCATCATCAGATTTCCCAGGAGAACGCAGTATCAGGCTTGTGTTTTGTAAAGATCAGTTGGGCTATGCTGGTGGAAATAGATTATACAGAGCACACACAGGATGCAGGAAGGGGAAGCGGTAGGCTGCTGTTACAGGCTACAGGATATGGGCTGTGGCTTGCATTAGGATCATGAAAAGGACTGCAGAAAATGTTAACATTGGATGGACATGGTGAGAGATTGGATATACCGGAGAGGGAGAAGAACACGTTAAAGATGGCCTCTATGACTGTCTCTGGCACAGCTACTTAGATGGATCAGAGATTATTTTTTGATGAGATTTCATGGGAAAGGAGCAGTTTTGTGGTATGCTGGGTAATTAAGAATATGAGTTCAATTTTTACTATGTTGAATTTAAGATGCTTGGAACCACCCATACAAAATAGCTGTACAGATCCAGTTCTCAAAGCTAAGGACAACTTCTGTTAAAGACACAAATCTGTGAGTCATTTGCAAATACTACAATGGACATTGATAAATTTGGATAGGAAAAGTGTACTGAGTGACAGGCACTGTTTTGTGAGACTAGATATTAAGGGTATTTCACCAAAAGATGTCCCAACAGGAAGAATTTCAGAAGACTTGTAACAAATAGCCAAAGAGACAGGAAGAGAGAGATTAACAATCTGGTATGTTCACAAACACCATAGGGAGGCAGTGTTTCCAGACCAGGTGTGTCAGGGCTGGGAATCTAGCTCATGTAGAGCACAGACGTCCCTGCTTTCAATCCCTGCACATCAAAAGCAAGAGGAGAGGAGAGTTGCCAGAGAGTCTTCCTAATGACAACAGATATTTCTAAGTCTGTGCACATTCCCACAGAAGGATAAGAACACTGGTGTTTAAAATTAGCAGTAGCAGTAAACAATAAGAATCCAAGATGATGAATTGAGACATTCAAAAAATAGGCCCTAGATGCTCACAATCATGAGGCTATTTCTGTAATCATTGCTTGGACCACAAAGGACAAACACTATATAAATATTCTAGTGAGAAAAAAATACACAATAGTATTTTATAAACACAGAGTCACACTAAAGAAAGGGTGTTTGGAGATGTCAAACATGATAATAATGTTAAATTTTTGTCTAGGAAAAATTAAACACATATCATAATGTCCTACGAAACTAAACCCGTCTGTTCTCCACATATGCACAAGATAGCAAGAGGTGTCTCTGGCCAGAATTTGGAGCATGGAATACACAAGCAAGATTAAATCCCTAAGCTCTTAAAGGGGTGAAGCCTAAACCCAGGGAAATTCCTCTTCTACAAACAATCAGATAAAAATTCAAGATGTTTGAAAACTCATTTTACTTTTGGTGCCAAATTAAGTAGCCAGAGAGGGAAAGGTTGTATTAAAAACTTAGCTCTTTCAAACACTTAGAAGTTTGAATAGAAAAAATGCTAACACAATGAACTTACAAAATATAAAAATCTCTGAAACAAAAATTGTGCATACAAGCTCCAGTCACCTACAACCAAAGAATAAACTCACAGACTGGAAACTGTAAAGGGCCATGGGCCCAAAGCTATGCTGTTTAAAGCCCACCTTTGTAAGCTTTTTTATGACCTTTAAAGTTTGCAGCTTAAAGCCAGCTCTGTGAGCCTCCTGTAACCTATAATTAGACACAATTTGGCCAAGCGGGACTGCTAACGACTGCTGTTGAGAAAAGGTGTGGGGCCTTTCTGTCTGCTGTTTCGAAGATACGAAGATACCGAAGATACAGAAGATACCCGCAAGAATGTTCCAGCCCCAGCAAATTCCAGAAGTTCCTTCCTGCTATTCCCCCTGCTTGCCTAACTTCCTCATTGCAGGGCTATATAAGCCCACTCTAAGCCCCAATGTCGAGTCCTTGACAATGCACAGATGGACTCTGGTCCCCTCTTTTGCACCGCTTGGTCTCCTTCCTTCTCTCGCCCATGACTCTTTCAGGCAGCCCCCCTTCAGAACCCTGAATGACTGGACTCACGGGACGGGTCAGGAAACAAGTCTGAAAACTAAAACATTTAATATATTATCCTGAAGAAAAACAAATTAAAAATAAGAGAACCTAAGATACATTGCAAAAAGAATAAGGAAATTTAACAGATACTGAATCAAAATTCTTGGAGAAAAAGTACGTACAGAGCTCTGTATCTATGTGGGTAGGACATCTATCTATCTATCTATCTATCTATCTATGGTAACTTTCAAGAATTATAAAAGATGTGAATCTATAAAGTGGAAATTACAAAGAATTCCAAATAAGAAAATCCCCACTGCAAAATTTTAGTGAATCTGGAATCAGTTAAAATAATGTTATTCTCTTTCTTTATTGATAATAATCTGGTTACTGGCGACAAAGTGCATGAACCAAAAATTCTCTTCTGACCCAGCCATTTCCATAATATACGACATAATTCTGTTGAGTTAATTTAATAGATTCAAGTCTTTGGATAGTTTTAAAGCTGCTTTGAAACATTACCTCTTTAAGGAACTGGATAATAAGTTTCTTGTTCCAAGATCTTACTCTATGTAACTTTTATACTTAATTTTCTAATGAAATCATAGTGTTAGCAAAATGTTTGGCAGATGAAAACTATCTTCATAATGATTTTTGACAATTTCTGAACACAAAGAGTGATTTATTATGACGCATGGTGTCAATTTATAACATTTAACTGTTTTGGCTGCTTTGTCAAAATTGCTTGTTCTTTCTCCAGCAAAGCTAGACCCTCCAGTCGTAACTACAGTCCAAGTTAATGCATCATTGCTGGTGCTTCTCCGTGCCCCAGAGCTGCCATATAGAAACCAAAATGGAAAAAATACATCTATGGAAAATTACTATGACTTAGTATACAGAGTTTTCATAACTGACAATTCACTACAAAAGGTGAGTTCAGAGGAATAAATGTCTGGGTCTTTTGTTTCCTTAACTAACATTTTGATGATATCCCACGGCCCATCTCTTTGATGTTATGTCTCTGGATCTTTCCCTGTCTTTATTCTTTCATCTTCACTGAGAAGCAGTCAGTGCCTGTATCAGAATTTATGTGTGATTGCATTCCTGTGTGTGGTGTGTGGCAGAGATATATGTAACCTTTCAGATGCTCAGCTGGCTTCCTCAGACTTCCCACATATCTAAGAGTTAATATTTCATTCCCTTTGTCTGTTGTTAATGTTTATCCCTCTTAGCGTTATACTACCTACTTATTTCAGGAGCTTTTGAATCACGGTATTATTAGCAGTCTTTTGGGGGTTTGTTTGTTTGTTTATTTATTTATTTATTTATTTTGCATCCCTGGTCTCAGTTTCCCCTCCCTCCTCTCCTGCCAGTCTCTGCTCCTTTCCCCACTCTCACTCTTGTTTAGCAGTCTTGCTGTAGTGGTTTATATTAGAAAGCCCACTGCCAGCACCTTTATTTAGGTTTTATGATGAACAGAATGTCCCTTTTCTGTATCCATCTAAGTCAAGGGCTCATTTAGTTGGAAGGAAGAAAAAAAAAACACTCAAACTGGTTCAAATACAAAAGAAGGGGGCTAGTTCAGCAAGAGGCAAAAAGCCATCCATGGCAGTCAGAAACAGAAAAATGAAATGGGAGGTGAGGTCTGCCCATTCCTTCTCTGTCTCCACTCTCTCTTTACCCGTCCCTTCCCCTAATGCAATCCTCTCCTTCCCTTCCCTCCCCTCTCTCGGGTCAAGTCTGCCTCCTCCATCACCCCCTTCAAGTCCATGCCATTTCCTGACTCAGAGCTCACATACTTGAAAATGAGGGAGCCATTACTCCCGCCATCCTTAGCCTTGAAGAAGTCATGTGGCTTGACCATTTAACAAGTGTCTTTACCCAGTTATGGCTCAGGACTTTGGGGAAGAAGGCTTTATGTGAAGATCTACAGTGATCACATACAGCTCACTGGTTTTAACAAAGAAAACGCAAATCAATGACTCACTAGAAACCTTTTATCATCTGATTTCTCCCCCTGTGTAGGAGCAAAAGGCCTATGAAGGGACTCAGAAAACTGTTCAAATTGAAAGTCTGACACCTCGTTCTGGTTACTGCATAGTGGCTGAAATATATCAGCCCATGTTAGACAAAAAAAGCCCAAGAAGTGAGCAGAGATGTGTGCAGATTCCATGAGCTGGTCTGTGGCATCCTGCAGTGTGGAAACCAAAGGCATACTGAGGATGGAATGGCTCATGCCTGCAACAGCTTGCTGACCTTCTGTTTCTATTTTCTTAGAGCAATGTCTATCAACAACTTCCTAGGGTTTATTTGTCAATACTTTCTTTTCTGTTTCACTTTTAAAGTAAATTTGAGCAGATTCAAAAGTCAGAATTGAAAGAAGAGATAAAGAATAAAGAGCCTGTGATGATACCTGTCTTTAATCCCAGCATTGGAGAGGCAGAGGCAGGCAGATCTCTGGGACCAGTCTGGTCTACATAGAGAGTTCCAGGCTAGCCAGGGCTACATAGTGAGACCCTGCCTCAATAAAATAAGATGGTAAGATAAAGATCTTCTTTAAAATACAGAAGTTTATTTCTGAATATAACAACCTTAACAATAATCTTTTTTTCTGTTAAAACCACCAAAATAAGAATCAAGGAATGGGCAGGCATTTAATAAAATGTTACAATAATTTTTAAAGCATTATAAACAAGCAATTCTGCATCAATATTTTGTTTTGCTTTTGTCATAGATACACTGATTTAATATTTTATGTAAATGAATATATTTCTGTATGTTTCTATTTTTATTTCTTAAGAGATATTTCTATTTAGTGAATCAACACTTTAAAAATAATCTTTCATGACTCTGAATTAATCTCTAGATTAAGATTTTCAGCAATAACATGTAGATATTGAACAAAGTCTCCATAATACAATTTCCTCTCACTGAACACATAATCTTAGTAAGACTACTCTTTCTAGTTTTGTTTTTAATATTGCCTTAGAGTTTACCTGTATTGTCAAAATGAAGCATACATTTATCAGAAGCAAGGACAGAAGAAACTTATAGGCCACACTGATAACTCAGCCATTCGGGCAAAGGGGTCCCTTTCTGTTAGAATGACTATTTGGTTGAGGACAGTTGGAGTCCATATAGGAAACTTGGCTTGAAGCTAAAGACACACAATGGATTCTTAAATTGTGTCTTGAGATTATAAAGAAAACCAAACCCCTGTGAACTCTACTGCCTGTCCTGAACACAGGTCAGGTGGCCCAAGGCTTAGAAAGTGTCTGGGTTAAATCCTTCTGTAGCTCCCTGAACTTGAGTTATCTGCTAGCCAGGAGACATGTATGAGAGAACACTTGCAATCTTCATGAAAGAAACATGCTCCAAAATATAACATTCAAAAATACAATCAGGGATAAATAGTCAAAGATATTCAAAATGTGGGAGAAGCGTGTAAAGCAAGATCTGGAGTGTTGGCCCTACTGCCCAGTAAGTTCAGAAAACATTGACTTTTCTTACTCCTATTTTTGAATTATTCAATTTTTATTTCTTTTTGTGGCTTACTAGCTTTTTTATGATTTTGTACTTTGGGGAGGGTGATGACTTGAGAAGCATGACCCCATGATTGGGGCTCAGGAGCATGAACATGGTGGTAGAATTTAGGTTGTGAACTCAGTCATCTGAAGCCTCATAACACAAAAAAGCAATTGTTGGCACATGAATGCTGCCAGATAACATAGAGTTTTGCTCTGATTTTGTTCTGCTTTGGGTTTGCCTTCATACCTGAGCACAGCCATGCGTATGCAAATATGGAATGCTTTGAGAATCATTACAATTTTCACATCTTTGATTATGTTAAGAACATATTGTCACATTATTTCAATAAATCTTACTTTGCACATTGAAGTACTTGTGATTTTCTGTGTGTCTGTCTGATGAAATCCTACTTAGTTATCTTAGGTTTACAGGAACTACAGCTAGAAAGGAGCTCTTTGAGCAAGCCTCTGGGCACTCACTGCACATGCCCTGCCATCATTATATTGTGCAGCTGAAAATATGAAAATATGTATTTGAAGTAGACATACCCTCTGTCCTGCATCTGAAACCATATTGTACCCAAGGCTGATAATCCTGAAATCTACTCTATTTAATTGACTTAGACATTTGTCCTCTTTTCATGCCCATCCCACATCTTAGCAGGAAGCCCAGGACTCCTGCATGACATCCAGAGCCTGGCTCACATGCTATCTCCCTTTCTCTATCCCTATTTGTCATCTTCTTAGCGGACCATCTCACCTCCATCCCTGACATACACATAGGGTAATCGCCTGGTGGGAATTGTCTTGGGTAGGACAGTCATGGTTCTTTTTAACTCTTAATATTGGGAGTGGGGGACATAGTCTGTTGTCACTGCTGGAATCGTGTACTGTTGGGATCAGATGAGCCTGAAACTGTCAATAGCACTGGTCCCAGCAGGTGGAGAAAATCTAGAAGAGAAGGCAGTCCCTACAGACAATAGAGCAAACTGGGGAGAGAGGATCTTTGATAATATAATCCAACTGAGCTGCCAGCCCTTTGGGCTCCAAGTGGACAAATAAATCACTCCCCCCCCCACTTTAATTGCACTTGAATTTCTGTCCTTTTCAATCAGAAGATCTTTGAATGAGAGAACAACACAAATGTGTGTGTTATAGGTTATGTACGAGGCTTACCAAAGTAACCTTTGTCCATTGTTCTTTACACTTTACATTTTCAGAAGAACATACTGGAGAGGCTTTCTTTCTGTAGCTGATACACTGGAAAGCCCCACAGGAGTGTTTGTATTTATTCTGGTCAAGGCTCTACAGAAATGGCTCCAACCAAGGGCTCGTGCTTTTAGCAAATTCTCATTTGGCTAGACCACTTGGTCCAAATTTTAGTTTTCTTGGCTCTAAGTAGAAGCAAGACTTCGTTTCTATTCATTGGAATAATGAGTCAAGGGCCCATGTGACAGTCTCCAGAGGTCACGAGGCTATGTAAATACTATCCAAATACCAATATCTCTCTTTTGCTCTGTGAATATAATGTACTTCAGGGGCAAAATGTCTTTAACTTTTAAATTGAGAGAAGGTCTTGCTCCATAAAAGTCCAATTTTAACTTCAAATTTGTGATCCCCTTTCCCCAGCCTCCCAAGGACTAATGCTGAAGACACAAGCAAACAAGCCAGACTCAAAGCTCCTTTTTCTAAATATTCCAAATTTAGACAAGAAATGGTTTTTGACATTCTAATACATGACCAGGGCATGTTAGCAAACAAACTTTTATGAATCTCATCTATAATGTCCTCAGGGCTTAGTCAAATGCATGCCTTGCATTTAGTCTCTGTCTCTCTGTCTCTCTGTGTCTGTCTCTCTCTTTCTCTGTCGTGTGTGTGTGTGTGTGTGTGTGTGTGTGTGTGTGTGTGTCCCTCAACAAATGAAATTTTACACTGTCAACACTACCATTTTAAGAATAAGGCTTTGTCAAGAAGCAGCTGTCAGACCCCCATCAGATAAATCTCTTTGTGCAACTGATGGTGGTTACTGTGGACACTCACAACTCATCAAAGTACAGATAATGAATGGCTGTGGGGTGCTCAGCCACAAGTGGGACAACTATATCACACCTCCTCCCCAGGCTCAATGACTGTCTAGGAAAAATGGTGGAGACGTTGTTAAGAGTCGGAGGTCAGGGAGGACCAGGGTAAAACAGTGTCTTCTGGATATGACAGGACCACTGCACTCATGAACTCACAACAGCTGTGGTCACCTGCACAAGATGAGTACAAGATCAAGCCAGTCAACACTCCAGAATGGAGTACAAAGCTATTCATTAGCCCCAACACATGTGGGGTATATAGAGATGACAGCTTCTAGGGGAGAGTTAATTTTCTTTAAAGATTTGACTCTTGGTAAATTGACCATGCTTCCAAGGATAGCATAAACCAGAATTTATGAGTTATTAAAATTATTAAAAAGATGACTCAAAATTGAGGGTTAGATCGTGAGGAGTTGGGAGTGAATATGGTAAAAATACATTGTATGAAATTCTCAGAATTAATAAAAAATTTATTGTATTGTATTTTATTTTGGTTTTTCAAGACAGAAATTCTCTGTGTAACAACCCTAGCTATCCTAAAACTCACTTTGTAGACCAGGCTGGTCTTGAATTCACAGAGATCCTCCTGCCTCTGCCTCCCTAGTACTGTGATTAAAGGCTCATGCCACCATACCTGTCTCAAAACATTTTTTTTTATTATTTTATTAGTTCTAGTTAGGGAACAAGCTTATTTCAAGTCCCTTCTCCCTCTCCCTCCCCTCACCCCCAAACTTCCTCCCCCACCCCATTCACCCACCACTCCCCAGGCCGGGGAAGGGCCTCCCCAGGCCACATGGGGAGGG